AACGGACAAACCAAACACTGTCTCTAGATCGCGCCGTTTGCGTTTTTTTGGCGGCAACCTTAGTTTCTCTCTCACGCTCGGAAAGGGAGGGCGATGCGAGTGACTACACCGCTAAATCCTGTAAAATCCTACAGACTGGACCTTTAAATTCCTTTTATCAGAGAGCCTTTTCCTAAATTTTACTTACATTTAAATTCTCTTCTATTTCATTATGTTTTTCTTTTATCTGGTTGAAATTTTCTTTTAAAACGTAATGATTTTATGGCTTGTGTTTAATAAAATGTTTTATGGAGCAATTATTGTGTTCACTGTTCTCTGTTGTTCTCTACTGTTATTGTTATTGTTCAATATAATATGAAATATCCATTAAATATGTCAGTTTACTTTTATTTGGGAACCAGTACTTAAAGGTAATAACTCGTCACTTCTTGCTGTCCTGTGCAGGTTCTGGCTCTGGTGTTCATCCGGAAGCTTCTGGATTTCTGCTTCACCAAGAGAGAGCTGAGCTGGCTGGACGACCTGATACCGGAGAGCAAGAAGAAGAGGGACGACGACAAGAAGAAGAAGGAGAAGGAGGTGAGCCGTTAGACACTTAAATCTACCAAACAACGTGACTCTGCCTCAGGCTCCTCACTGACACCGCCAATGTGGATTCTTTTCCAGGAAGCTAGGCGGATGCTGGAGGAGGCCGAGGACGATCTGCCGTACAACGGAGGGAACGTCATCGACTTCCCGATCAAAACCCTGAAAGGACGGTGAGTGATGAACAGTAGGATCCCTGTATACAGACACTGCAGCAGAGAGTAACGTGTATTTCTGTGTGTCGTGCAGCGTGGACCCATCAGAGGTCAACATCTCGGATGAAATGGCCAAAAGCGGCATTTGGAAATCCATGAACTCTGAAAGCAGCAAAGCTCTGAAACGCAGCAACAGGTAAACCTACTGGACACCAACCAATCCCTGACCAATCATTGCAGTATCCCACGAGTTTCACCAATCGTAGCGACGTTATTCTAACTGGAACAAGTTGACTTCGATTTTTAATGAATTATACAAAAAACTGCCTTAAGAAATGCCTGACGAGGTCAAGCTCCAACTCATGGTGGATTTTATCCTGTTGGTAGAGGTGTGGAAAAGATTTTAGGTTTGCATTAAAGTTGGGGGATTAGAAAAGGTAAAAAAGTTTGCACAAGTTACCTACTTTAGATCTGAGTCACATGATGATGATGATAAGGTTTTACACCATTGTTGCTAGGGTGTTGAGGTGGTTGCTTATAAACAGAAGTGATTGTATTATTATATTATTATAATTTATGCAACATTTGATTGATTAATAAACCAATAAGATGTCTCGTTGCTGGCGTTGTGTCTTCCAGCCAGGAGAAGCTTTCGAGCATCCAGATAAACGTGGAGAACGAGGACGGTCGGAGAGTCGTGGACGCTGAGACATCGCTATGATCCACCGGCGGGCATTGGTGGGGACGGGCGGCATGGACGGCGGGACGGGGGGGCTTTTGGAAGCCCCCAGGGGAGGGAAAGCGCTGACCTGGTTACTGATTTGGGCATTTGCTGTAGTCCTCGGTCTTTCTCTGAACACACTCGATAAGGTCGGTGGGAGGACCAATCAGCGCTTCACCCGCCGCGGCCTACTACTCACTGCTGCGTTTCCTCGGACGAAGGGTGAACGTTTATTATTTTTCATCGTTTTATGGTGAAACACGGGAGACTCCACCACTGGGAGGGCAAATATGGCCGCCACTTTCGGAAAACAGCTTCCTGAGCGGTTTCTTTGGTTGGTTTCTACCTCGGGGCGCTCGCTGCTGCCGCTTGTGATTGGCTGCTGGAGCATCGAACCCCAACACAGACTTACGTGGACGCCCGATTTTCCTGATGGGATCTGAAAAAGTTTAAATTTTTATTGTTCTTAAATGTTTCTGTTTCTGCTTTCATTGAAGCAACGAGGCCGGCTTCCCCCCCGACAGGCTCCAACAAGGAAGGGGTTTTTATTTAATCATCATGCTGATTTAAGTTGTATATGTGGTCTGCTTGTGAGTGCTGGGTGGCTTATACCTGTGAGCTGCTGTGCCGATCACTGTTTGTGCCTCACCTCGGGGAGTGCCCTGGCCAGCGCTGAACGAATGATTCACAAGCCAGCTGTCGTCGTTAGTTTCCTTCTTAAAGTTTAAATAAAATCAGGTGTTTTTGGTACGGACGATCGTATTTTGACCCTTTAATGATCTAATACAATCTGATGTTCGGTTGTTGAAACACATTTTAATTAATGCATTAAAAGCAACAACGTTAAAAGCTCCCTTTACAATCTCCGGGGGGGTGGGGGCGAGCCTCAACATTATTAAATGTTTTACACAGTCAGTCACCTGTACTCACTTTACTTACCTCGTTCTGTTCTCGTGTTAGTAATTAGCTTAGGTAAAAGCCTAATTCATCAGGAGAGCTAATCAGTAATGTGAGCTCCAGGTACGGTGCTTGCCTATTCTCTTAATAGTTGTTTTTATTTTTACAGTATTACACCATACAGATATTTTTGAGGTACCAGACGAAATAAAAAGTTAATAAATCCTACATTTATTACAGAATCTGCACAAAAGCCCAACACTAAACAACTGACTCCATCAACTGCCATCAAACAGTAAATCACATGTAGCAAAATAAAGGTAGAAATCATAAGCTTAGTGTTGTGTATAAATATTACACAGAATAGTTTACTAGGATATAATAATTAATGTCTTGGAGCACAGAGCAGGTGCCACAAGGGATTAAAACCCATTAAAAGCAGATGTTTCAGATGGAGGTGGATGGGAGCTGGCAGCCCCTGGATCCTGGACCTGGGCAGCTCTGATCCTGGGACCTACAGGGTGCTCTGATCCTTGGAACCTGGAGCTCCTGGATCCTGGACCTGCAGCCTGATTCCATGACCTGGAGCTCTGATCCTGACCTGGAGCTCTTGATCCTGCGACCTGGAGCTCTGTTACAGCGCAGTGAACATGAAGGAAAAGCACCGACAGCAGCAGAGCGGCAGACAGTCGACTCTCTGAGATCCCACCTGAAAAACAAAACTTTACTGTTTACTTTAATTTGTTTTATTAAAACTGTTCCTACAACAAATCAATGAATAAGTTCTATAACAGCAACATTTTTCTGTTAGGTGGAGCTATTTTAACTACTTCATCATATAATTAGCTAGTTCAGATCCAGTGGTTCCAACTTAGGGGTCCGGCCCTTCAAAAGGGTCGCCAGATAAATGTGAGGGGTTCGTGAATTAAATGGGATAGGAAAGAAAAAGTTATTTTCTCTAAGTGTTTTGAATTTAGTGAAATATTTGTAGCATTGAATAGAAATGAAACTGTGAGAAGTTTAGAGGACAACTTCAATAACATCTGGAAACTTTAATGGACAATAAAAACATTGAAGGAGGGACTCTATTGTCAGAAATACAATATTCACAGGTATGTTTTCATTAGTGGTATAATTCACCCGAAAATACGAATTGCAATTTTGTTCTCGTTTTATGAGTCCGCCATGTATCTACTGTAGCCAGAACGGACAAACTCTGGATCTATGGAGGAGGGGCCTCTGAGTTCATTTGCCACTGTTAGTTCTCCTCACCACTCGTTTCTCATTCCCAGGGACACCCAGCAGTGTTCAGTTAGTTGCAATCTGCAACCTGCACTAAATCCTCCACACTGGTCCTTTAGTGTTGTAAATACTCAATCGGATACTTGTATTTTACTAAATGATACATTTGCACGTTGCAATATCAATATATCAGTAATATAATAATAACCAGTATATGCTTGACAACTGACAAATTAAACATAAACCATATCCACTCACTACGAGTAAACGATCTAAAAGTGTTCATAAATAGCTCTTATCAATCCAAAGCGGTTGGCCAGCAACTCCCATGTTAGGCCATGTAAAGTGAGTGTTTGTGTCTCTGGAGTCTGGTTGGAGAGTGATAGTGATATTACGGCTGTTTGTGGTTAAACTAAAGGTCTATCTCTGTAGGGGATCCTTTCATAATCTGTCAGACACTGACAATAACAACCTGAGTCTGTCAGTGGCAGAAACTACTTTTAGTGGACGCACTCTGATGGCACATTTGTTCCCGAGGATTATGTTGGAGTCCGTTTTACGGCTGCTGGTTGAGGTAATTTACTGGAACATTTCAAAACAACAGAACTTAGGTTTTGTGCACAATATACCCGATGTCGATCAGTTGAATCTGATTGTGACATCCCTATTAAATAAACTGTAAACAGTACCTTTCTAATCTTCCAACCACTCAAAGTGCTTTTACACTACATGTCACACTACAAACTAACATTCATGCATCATGAAGCATCAGGAGAAATTTGCTCAAGGACACTTCAGCTGCCCCGAGAACAAATAAATAATGAAACAGATGACAGTCGGGCTTACCGCTGTGCAGCAGTAGGTTCTCCGTTACAGTCAGTGATCCGTTGTGTGGCGCCGGTTCGATCTGCAGCAGTTTACACATCAGAGGGTAAACGTGGATGCTGTCGAACGGCTCAGACAGGAAGTTCTTCTTGAAGTCGGGTCCAAAGGCCCTGAAGATGGTCTTCATGTCCATCTCTCCATTGTGGTAGCCGTGATCGCCTTTGTTGACGTAGACGATGAATCTCTGGTGGGAAACAAAATGATGAAGAATTACCAAAGGTCAGATCCAGTCGATCACAGATCTCTTGAATCCTGCCCTCCTCTTTTGTTTTGTGGCTGCGTTGATGTCTGATTTCAGAGATAATTGAAGGCTTTTAGGGTCAAATTCGGGAAACTCACAGAGTTCAGGTTGAATCCCAGATCTGCGACGATCACGATGGGAGGCAGCCGCTCACTTTTGGCCAGGCGGAAGCTCTCAGGAAGCTCGTTTTTCTTGTAGACCGTCAGATTCGGTGCGTTCGACAGAGCGTCGAAAACCTCCTGCTCCTTCCCCGGACGTGGCGTCAGGATGCCGAAGCCACCGTAGTCGAGGATCTCGAAGCTGGCGAGCTTGAGTAAATTAAGGTATTTGTTGAGGATGATCTCGTCCACCTGCGGTCGCTTTTTGACGGTGGTCATGCCATGGTCAGAGGTAAGGATGACGTTCAGGCTGTCGGTCAGTTTATGGCGAGTAATGGCCTCCCTCAGGTAGCCGATGATGCGGTCGATCTGCTGGATGATCTTCTTCCTGTCTGGAGTGTCCGGCCCTTTGGCGTGGCCCACATTGTCCGGCTCTCCGTAGTACAGCGTCACCAGGTGGAAGTCTTCTTCGGAGAACCAGCTCATCACCATGTCGATGTTCTGACGCCACTCGGTCTCGTTGTCGTCCACGTGGTCAAATGCTTCCACCAGCGCTCGGTTGACCGCCTGGCCGCTGTAGTTGGCCCCGCCTCCTGGGTAGTAGAAGGAAGCGGTTTTTAGACCCTGAAACAACAAGAACACAGACACATTAACAACTTTTAAGTCGACACGGAGCAACAATCAATTATTTAGAGTTTTGATTGTGTCACTTGATGAATGTGAGTCTAATATTCACTAATTTAAGCTGGGAAATATCTGCTCTTGAGCTGCTCAATGTCCCATTTCACGTCATTTCATACTTTATTTTTATAAAGGTATTGATTAGAGTTGCTTTAAGCTCTGCATTTGATACAATAGATCATAAAGTAAAATTAAAACTGAATTATTAATTGAATTAATATTCAGAGGCTGTTGCAGACTCAAGTTTTAAAGCTAGAAGATATTGTTATCATATCAGGACAGTGTACTTAGAGTTAAGATAGCTATGTTTACATGCAGATGCAGTTACGCAGGCATTTAGGATTACCTCACCAGCATTGCTATAAACAGGGTTTTAAAAAATACCCATAAGTCCTTAAGACTGAACTTGCTACGGGAAGTTTTGGGGCATCAAAGCATCACAGTAGTTATTTTTAAACAATTATTATACAACTTTTAATATATTCCCTTTAGAAATAATAGTTCCATACCTCAGTGGGTACTCATGGACAAAAACCAGAATGGTTCTGTAGCTGCATAGTGTATTTCTATTCCAATATCATCTGCAGCAGGACGGTAGATGATGTTCTGTTTGAGTTTTACATCAGTTTTAAAATTTAAGTAATTGTATTGTTTGAAGACTACTTTAAACTATAATTTATCCCCAGTTTAAAATAAATCTGTAAATAGTCAGTTTACTTTGTTATCGCTGACTCACCTGGTTCTGAGCTGTGATCCATAACGGTAGAACTCCGTTGTCCCACCACTCTGATCTGCTCAGAGTCTGCTTGTGAGGAACTTTCTGGTTTGTCTTGGCGTTGTACATCATGTTGTGAACGACTTCGTGATCCTCCACCCATCTCCCTAACACACAGGAAACAAGACAGGAAGGCTTTCATTTAAATATTCCCAAAGACCCCCAGCAAAAAGCTCAAAGTTAACAGAAAGTAAAGTTCCCCAATACGATGGAGGTGAAAGGAATTTTTATATTTTATTCAGAACATTTGCTCTCTGCTACAGACAGACTGATTGTCCACACAAATGTCCCCAACCTTTGGAGACTGAAATGTAACATGGACATTTTCCACGTTGGTGGTCGCAGCTATTGCGAATTTGCTCGTTTGTTTGTTTAATTTTCATGTTATTCACATGAACCTACCTTTCAATCTTCATACTATTCTAGTAGCGTTCTACCGTACCTCAGAGTTTACATAAAGCTCGGTTAGATGCTCACTGAATACCTTTCACGTGCAATATGTTGTTAATTTACCAGCTTTTACTGTTTTGGTTTCCAGCAGAAAGTTATATTGTCATAACTGCAGCAACATGATTCCATAACAAATTGACTTCAGGACAATAAATGATGTCTTATCATATCTTACTGTTTTCTTCATTATGCAACCTTTACACAGGAACTGCAATGCATCCTGGGACGAGCTTACAAACACCACCACTGCAACACTTTTAAGTTCAAGTGAAGTAAAATCAGTTGTTGTTGCAATTATTACAGACGTAGTTTACTAGTCTGTTAAATTCCTGAGCGAAGTGCACTTACCTTACTTATTATTACCATCTACCTCCATTACTGTGAACATATTCTATAAATGAATATTCTGTAAAGTTAATTATTTTCTAACTGCATCAGAATATGATGTGACTGCTGTAGGATTGCAGTTTATGGACGTCAGTAACAGCCGTAGAGTTTTTAATCTTCATAAACAGCTGAGAATCCAGTTGTGAAATAACATTAAATTTGTGAAGCTGAAATGTTTTCCTTTTGAAAACCGTCAATCTGGATTAATGTGGTCGTGATTTCCCTGTTTGATCAATTTCAAAACTTTATTTCCTGTTTATATATTTCCACCAATCAGATCATAAGTAAAATACCTCAGTGGTATTCAGATTCATTTAAGATATTTATATCTTTAAGGATGTTATTTGCCTCTGTAGATTTTAATATTAATAACGAACTGTGTCTACAACGACTCCGTCTTACTGTAGTTAGTGTCAGCTTAAATCCAGATGACTGACTGTACTTTAAGTCTCTTCATTCTACGTTCTACTTCTATTCCACTACAGCCAGCTCCAACAGTAAGATCCTGCTTTACATGAATGCATCAGATATTGTTCTTTAATACCTTTACTGCACTTTACATCATTTATAGTCTATTTAATAGTTATTAACAACATTTTTACACAAATATTTACACTTTTAGCAGATAAAAAACCAAGTGAAACCTCTTTCCTGCCTTAAATCCCAGAAAGTTTAAACCTTTTTATGAACTAATCATAATCGTTATAGTCCTGCTACAGCTTACATTACTGCCACTAATAGTAATATTAATATTAGTGATAGATAATGATTTATTATTATTGTTGTTTTATTTATATAATGATTTTGATGGATGATGCAGTTCTGTGTTACCAGTGATGGTGGTGAAGTGGGACGGCGAGGTCATGGTCAGCATTGGGGGGGTGACGTATTTGGCCTTGACCCCGTCCGTTACCAGCTGGTCCAGGTTCGGCGTGTCCACGTCCTGGTCGTAGTCCCACCTGAAGCCGTCGAAGGAGATGAGCAGCAGCTTGTTCCTCCCCACTGCCTTGCTCAGCGGCTTGCCGGCAGTGCAGCACACAGCCGCGATGAGCAGGAAGAGCTCCAGCCTCATCTTCATCTTCACGCCGACTGACTGCAGCTCAGCGAGAGTTCACCTGTCCACACACCTGCAGCAGCCGTCCGGTTTAATGTGTAACCGGCTGTCTGATAGAGATCTGCTGATGTGCGGTGAAGGACGAGACCTTCGACTGGAAGCAGAACTCAAACGGATCCATATCAGCCATGATTGTATCGACCAGCTTCAGTAATCTGTGCAGCCGGCTGATAACTTCTCTAAATGTCCCTCACCTTCCAGAAGGGTTCATATCAGAGTCCACTGATGAGGCTGTAAGCACAGTCAGAAGGCCGTCTGAAACCTACCTGGCAATAGATCTGATTCTGATTCTGAACCGTTGGGACTTGAGTTTGGATGAAAACTAAATGAAATAAAGAACTCAGTGTTCAGTGTTCCTGTTCCTACGGTGTGATGCTTGAATGGTGCAGAGTTTGTTCTCTCTGCTGAAAGAGGAAAGTGTCTCTCTGCTCACTGAGAGCCTGATTTAAGGAGCCTGATTGATACCCATGTTCCTACAGTAGCCCAGAAGGGACAAACCAAACACTGGCTGTATACAGTGGTGGTAGAGAGTGAAACGAGGGAGTTGTGATCTGCTACCTGCACCTAAAATCCTACTCACCTGACCTGTAGATAGAAAACAATCGCAGCACAGTGACCCGAACAATAACCCTAACTCTACACGCCCACTTTAGGAACCAACTTTTCAGCTTTCAAACAGATTTATTTTTGGTGGAAATGGTTTAAAACTAATGGAGCCGGTTTCCTGTTCGTTGTGTTGTGTTTCTTAAACAAACTCATAATTAAACATAACGCAAACATTTAGAGAACATTCGTCCAACTGTCGACACTGAAGTACTCTCACTTTATATTTATAATATTAAAAGACTAAACTGCTGTATCACACTGTGTCTTATTATCAGTTTTACTCATTTACAGGTTTATCTGATCAGATCATGACATTAATAAAACTTGGCTGAGATTAGTGACTCAACCCCTGAAGGACATCTTAAGGGAATTATGTAAGTGTGTATGACTGATAGAAATAAATACACCGCTGAAATTCAGAATGATTCAGCATTATTGTTCATTTGAAAGTCCAGATTTATTGGAACTGTCTTCAAACACTATTTAAGGAGAGAAAACACTTTGAGGAAGAAGACTAACTGGTTGGTTTGGTGAAGGGTTAGTCTTACTCTATAACACTATTTCTTAATTCATTCATTAATTTGAGGGCACAAAAAAAAAATGTTTTATTGCACTCAGATCAGTTTTTTCTTTGTGACGGCAACAAAAAAATCAACAAACTAATAAATTGACAATATAACTGTATTCTGTGAAATAAGTGTGGGAAAGAAGACTGAATGAATTATGATTTTTAAAAAAACTTTATTTTATCAAACTTTTAGATAAATAGCCAATAAATATTTAAACTATTTAATATATATTTTTATAAACATGAATACAATCATTCAAACACATGTTGTGCACATTGTAGAAGGATTCAGTTAAAATGTAGAAACGTCGAATTAAACGCACGTCTCTTATTTTGGTGGGAGAGGAAACCGGAAGCATGTTGCGTCTAACGCGAACGAAGAAGAAGAAGAACCCGGAAGCATTCTGTATCGACGCTACTACTTCCGGTGTTCCGGAGTTGACGTTGCTCGCGTTGTGACGTAACATCGTTGTTTTTATCTTTAAACTAATAATTTAAATAAAATCTCTTTAAATTCACCGACAGTAGTTTGAGTCGCTTCTCTCCGGAGCCTGTCCGGTAATCTGACGCTTGTTCCGGGTTCTGTGAGCCGGTAAGTTACCGGAACCGTCCGTAACCTCTGTTAGCCGTTAGCCGTTAGCTCGCCGTTCGGAACCAGACTCTGTTTATAGAATCAGTGTTTTTACAGTTTGTTGCTCCTCAGAAGTCTTTAGGGTTATAACTGAGAACACTGCAGGCTTTGTGACAACCAGGAAGGGTCACCTTTCAGTTCGGCTCCTCCAGAACAACTTAAATCAAATCAATAAACACCTGGATCACCTGTTAGAGGCTGCACAGGTGAGAAGGTCAAAGGTGACGAACAGCTGATCGAATGAAACAGAGTAATGTCACGTCATCAGGACTTCATTAATGAAACATAACGTCAATATATCTGTCTGCCGAAAACGATATTCACAACTAATATCTGATCAGCCAATATATCTGCCCACAAATATCAACAATAGAAGCTCTAATCCCCGACAGCATTTATTGTCCTCTGCCCACGTGAATGTGTTTTCTGGGTATTTGGCAGTTGTGGGAAGGAAGGACTGGTGAGTTCCCACGGTACTTGAAACCTTGTCGTGTCCGAACAACTAAACTGTAACGAAAATCCCGTTCTGTTTCAGGAATGATTCCGTTGTTGGGAAGCTCAGACCCGTGGCTGACGGCGTCTGTTACAAAGGGTACTGTTTCACTGACCGCTTGACTTAAATGATACGACAAAGGAGGGTCGTTGAGGGAACAACACGCAAGGTCGGTTGAAGGGAACACACGCAGGTCGGTTGTAGGGAGAACTACACGCAGGTCGGTTGAGGGAACAAACACGGGCAGGTCGGTTGGAGGGAACCACCAACGCAGGTCTGTTGAGGAAACACACGCCGGTCCGGTTGAAGGGGAACACGACCCAGGTTCGTTGATGAAACACACAAGGTCCGGTTGAGGGAACAAACACGCAGTTCCCGGTGTGAAAGGAACAACACGCAGGTCGGTGAGGGAAAACACACGCAGGTTCCGGTTTTGAGGGAACACACCAGGTCGGTTTTTTTGAAAGGGAAACACACCGCAGGGTCGTTGAGGAAACAACACGCAGGTCGGTTGATGGGAACACTCTGCAACAACCCTATCCTTGACAGTTCTTTCTTCTTCTTTTTCCCCTCTCCGCAGCGTCCCAGCATTGCATCTGGCGGGACGAGTTTCCCAGCCCCTCTCCACCAGGACGATGGCCACCCTCACCTAGATGCAACCGCCGAGGGGAAAACCAAAGCGCCTCCCCCGTCTAATCGGCGCCACGTCGGTCCCGCCCGCGAGCTGAAGGGCGGTGGGTTTTGAAGAACGATGAATGCCGAAAGCCGCCAAGAAACCCCAATCCCGCCAACAGGATGCCGTCCGAGTTGCGGCCTGTCACGGGGAAGGAGCGGTGGCGTTCCATTCCCGGGGAGGGACACAACCTGCAAGGTAGCACCAACGTGGTCTGGGTGGGAGGGGCGAGGAACTCAAGGAATCTGCCCGGAGTCAAACTCAAAGTTGGTCCAGATGGAAATACGACTGCCCGCCCCACCGTGGTGAAGAAAGAAAATAACGGGTCCCGCGGCGGCTGAGTGGTTTCCGTCAGTCCGTTTAAAAATTAATTAACCCATCAAAGAGTCCCCCTGCGGACACTGCAACGACCCCACTCAATATGTGGATTGGTGAAACCACCGTGTTCACCGAACCCGCTGCTCCCAACAGCCTCCAACAGTAACTGGACCCCAGGGTTCCGATTCCCGTTCAGATTCAAGTGTCTTTGGTCGGGGCGGAAAGGTCCAAGGAAAAGTCTGTTGCAGTTGGACTCCTGGAAAACGTGAGCCCCAGGTCAAATGGATCAAACATCTGAAGAAACCCAGAAAACCCTGCCAGTTCCCTAATACCGGCCACCTAGAGACTTTGGGATTCCATATTAAAAGCGTCCAACAGCAAAAGAAAATAAACATGTTTTTACAGCCCTTTTTGGTCTCCGTACAGATCATTTCTCCGTTCATTGACGGACTACACAAACTCACTCCCTTAAGTTATAATAAAAGATTATTGTTTGAATTAAGTCTTGTCAAGAATTTTCCCAAAAAATAAAGTTGAATGAAATTTTCAAAATTCTAAATTACCTTCAAGACCACCGGTACAGTAAATAAATCCGAACACCAACGGGTTCCTTTTGCTCACCAACTGGAATGTTTTACTTTATTTTGGTTAAGTAAACAAATTAAATGTTTTAATGTTGGAATCAGAAAAGGTTTCCAGTTCCACCAGATAACAAAGAATTAAAATACCACCACCCACCAAGTGTGCATCAAGG